TGTGTGATAGATGAGAACTGTTCAAACTTACATAGTGATAAGTGACAGACCCAAACTATAGATCCTAATGGAATCATGACCTGAATCTAAGGGCACTCAGTATCTTGGGATACGTGAAGCAAATTTAGCTACAAATAAACTGCTTCTGTCCAGGTAAGAGGTAGACAGTAAATAGAGTATTCCATTTAAGACCTTATTTCCACAGTTTTCTCTGGAAGGATACTTATTTGTGCCTCCCATGGGAGGACAAGGGGCTCCTCAGCTCTCATAATATCAAGAGCTTGGAGTGGTCCTAGAGTATAGAAGGGCATCTCTTGTGCTGAAATCTGGCATGTGGCTATCCCCGTGGAATGGAACTTGTCTTGTTGAAAAAGTACACTGGGAATATGACTACAGGCTCAATAGTCTGAAAGAGTAGGCTGGCTTTCTGTTGGGCAGTCGAAGACAGTGATTTGGGAGAGAGTTTTGGGTGGGGCCAGGTAGACTAAACATTTAACTCACAGGGAATTTCTTCTATAATGTTCCTAAAGATGCCCCACCCCACCTCATTTCGTAAGAGCTTATTAGAAAGGGCAGCCAGTACCTTTCTTATTAATTGTTCCACTAATGTAAAAACATAGCTTAAAAAATTCTTCCTCTAGGGTGCTTCTAAAATGACTGTTTAAGGCTACATAAAAAGGGATCTGGGCCCAGTAAAGAAAAGCTCCGAGCAGCCGGAGCTGCTTGTAAGTCTCAGCAGCACGAGCAAAATCCTTCCAGATTTATACATGTGACTTCCCTTCTCTTTCTGTTTGCAACCTCTGCCCACATCCTCAGAAATTAGTTCCCACTGCCTCTTGTGAAATGCAACCCCATCACAGGCAATTTCTTCTGACTATTTTTCCTGTTAATTCTACTGGTTACCCATATTGCTAAAATCTGCTTAGGCTGAGTTTCTTTGAATTCTATTTTGTTGCTCCAGTCAACTGTTTCTTTAGGATGCTCTTTGGCTTTGAATATGTGCTATTGTCATGGTACTGTCATTCTGCATGCATTGTTAAAATGTCTGGCAACTCTTTTCATTTATAGTTATATTTTCATTTATATTTATGAATGAAGTAGTATAAAAATTGGCAAAGGGTGTCCATGAGGTCTTTTAAAGAACATATTTTCTTCTGCTTTTTATTTCTCATCTCTGTTTCTTCTCTTAAGAATTCCTAACAGAATCCCACCTGTGTGTGTGTTTGTTCATTTTTTCTTTCATTCATTCATTCATTCATTCATTCATTCATTCATTCATTCATTCAGTCATTGCTGTGTAGCCCAGATAAGTCTATACATTGCTATACAGCCTGGTGATCTTCCTGAGTTACAAGGTTGATTGTTGTTTAATGACAGTGTTGAGTTAGGTCAACTAACCTGAAACTGTCCCATTAATTGACCCTTCATGTGAAAGGCTTTACTATGGAGGTCAACATGCAAATTAACTCATATAACTTCCCTGGAGGAGTGAGCAAACTTGCTTTTTCAGAAAAAAATTGTTTTGGGGTTTGTTTTAAAAGACTTGTCTACATAGCTTTGTATGTTACCCTGTACACACAAAGGTGTGTTTGATGAGTGTGAATGTCGTTATTCCCATTCTCAGAATCTGCTCTTAGTTCCCTCTGTTATTATTGAAGTCTATAATGTTCTTAAAAATGTCCTTCTCATTTCCTTAGAGCTTCTCATAAAGGGCAGCTAACACCTTCCATATCAGCCACTAATGCAGATTACTAATGTATTATAAAATTCTTCTTATAGGATGTCTCTAAAACATATAGGCAACATAAAACAGGCTTTGTACTGGGTGAAAAAAGGCTCTGAGGAGCTGAGGCTGTGTCTCAGTCTCAGGGGAGAGTCCTAGGTCTCTGACTGACCCAGGTTTTGCTGAGCAGCTTTGCTGTCTCTGAGCTATAGTTCTTTCCAGACGGTGCTGTTGCACTGTGGTTGCTTTTCATGGGTGACATCCCTAGAAACACAACCTAGGAGATGTCATTTACATAGAATAGCATCCTTTGTTAGGGTTTTTACTTTCTGGTATTTCAGTTACCCACAGCCCGTCAACCATGATCTTCAGTAGCAACTGGAAGACCCCAGAAACAAATAATTCTTAAGTTTAAACTGTTCAACATGTAGAGTAGTGTAAGGGAACCTGCTCCATCTGCTCAGGATACAAGCCATCCCTTTTGTCCAGCATAACCATGCTGTATATGCTACTTGCACACTAGTCACTCATGAGATGGTTCAGTTATTGACTGGTATCATAGTAAGGTTTTCAAGTAGTCCTTAGCTAATAATGAATCCTGAAGTACTAGGGTAGAGATGCTGGAAATTTAAATATGTCAAAAAGAAGCCAAAAAAGTGTTTTCTTTCATTTGAAGAGAGCAACACTCTAAGAAAGGAAGAAAAAAAAAATGCCATATGTTAAGTTGCTAAGTTCTGTAGAACCCTCCATCCATGAAATTGTAAAGAGGAATAAGGAAAGCTACGCTAGTTTCACCGCAAAGGCTATGTCCACTATGTATGCTCAATTAACCTGGAAGAAGCTGTAATCATGCGGCTTGGTTCTTCCCGAAGAAGAACCACTCATCCACTGCGGGTACTGGAATGTAATGATTATTTACGATGTGAAGACTGGCCTTGGGGTCACACAGTCCATGGTCCTGCTTCCACGGGATCTAAAGCTGGGCTCCCTCTGTTCTGCTTTAGTCACCAGTGCCTTCTGTGACATTTTGAAATCAGCCGCCCTGTTCCATTTACTTTATCACTCTGGCACCATAAAACTCCCTTTCTTTTCTTTGATAGCGTCTCAGGAGGGAGAAGAGATTAAGGTATGGGTTGTGTCTGTCAAGCTGACCTGGAAGCCTGGAGTCCACACTGGCAATGGGAATATTGTTCTGCCTTGCTCTATTGGGTATAGTTACAGATGATTTGGATATTATTTAAAAACAGCAGGGACTATGGTAGATGGCTCAGTTTGATAGCTTTTCTGTCTCCATGCATCAAATTAGCAGGACCAGAAAAACATCTCTGCTTACTTTATGTCATGTAAATAGAAACTGAGGTGAAAATCATAGAGCTGTGCAGTGTTTTAAACCACAGTTCATTTAATAATTATTTTATGTAGCTACTTTAGTTTTGCAATAGCAGTAGAAAGAAGTTTTAAAATAATTGGATTTCCAATTTCAGTTGATTATCTATTCGAAGGAGTTTAATGCCTTAATAGTAAACCTCCTTAAGACTCATTGTTCTATTTAAAACAGAAAATAACTCTCCCACTATGTGGTTAGTGGTAAGAATTTTGTGCTATGTTATCTTGGGATGGCAGCCAGCTGGACACACATAGCATAGACTATAGCATAAAATATGGTGTGCTGAATACCAAGATATTTCCTTTTAAATGCTCCACTTGTGTCTAGATTATTTCAGCATCCAGAGGCACTTTATATAAATAACTTCATATTAATATGTTTGACATTATGTGTTGAGTGTGGGTCTTCAAAGTTATTGAAGTTACATAAATCCGTTCTGCTTATTATTTTCAATTTCAGAACGTTTGGGATAAATGTGTATTCAACCACTGCTTATTGAAGATCTGATAAGTATTTCATTCTCTGCAGAAAGTTGGTGAGTTCAATACAATTCTCCCCTTTGGCTACTTCACCTTATCAGAGAATTAGAATTAGTGATTATGTCTATAGCAGAGTTCATTTAACTCAAGTGGAAAGAATGGTAAAGGCAAAGCAAAATGCTTATTAGGCAAACTGCTAATAAGCTTCTCTTAATAAAAAGGAGGAGAGGGGGTGGGAATGCTTTAGGAGGATGCACCATTTAGCACTCATAGAAGTCTAGTCTTTGTGTTTGTGAGCACAATGTGGAAAGGTCCCACACTGAACCCTGCTTCAAGAACTCTTTATAGGAACAAGATGAAGCAAGACAAGTGGGAAATAGATCTCCACACTGGCACCTTCACCACAGACAACATCATCCTCACAAGGAATCATATGCAGAGACAGTCAGGCCATTCAAAAGAGGTTGCTGATTTTATATGACAATGTCTAAAGTCAGTATCTCTCTAGCTGTCTAATTTTTACCCTGGAACGTCTTTGCTATGTGTAACAGCCTCAATATAGCATATGAATTATGGGACCTGTTTCCCCTAGCTCAATAAAGTCTTTTCATATAAGATTATAGGGGGCAGGTCTATACTGAAGAGTCTGATATGTTTTCAAATACAAGCTGAATTATTTTAAGTGTCTATGAGAAGATGATGAAATGCTTCAGAGAAGCAAGCTTTAGAAAAAAATAATTGTTTCATATAATTATTTTGGAAATAAAACCAGATATGATAGATAGAGGAATAGAAAAGTTAGTTGGTTAGCTAGCTAGCTAGACAGACAGACAGATACAGCCAGGTACCTAGTAAGCGCAATGTTTCTGAACTACTCTCTTGAAGGAATATCCATAAACTGTGTTGCTGTACAGGTATCCACAGAGACATCTGTTCTCAGCTCAAGAGTTATATCTATGGCTGGGGTACCCTGAAACAAAGCTAGGTTCACTCCCCCTCTTTCTTTCCCCCTAGCATTCTGATGCTGACTCCATCAAGCACTCATTCTGGGTCCTCCACTAATCCTTCGTACACACCTGTACACTGCAATGGTCATACTGTATTTCAAGCACATATGAGTATTTGTGTCACTTACAATGAGTGAGTCCCATGAAGGAAAGGTGCGATTTTACATTTGAATTTTAAATTTAGCCCCTGTCACAGTGACTGGCACATAGCACAGACTTCATAAATAATTGCCAGGGTAGGGAAGAGATATGAGTAAAAGGAAACAGAGGGAAGAAAGAGGAGGAGGAAGATGATGATGATGAGAACAAGGGAAGGAAGTGGATGTGGGAGGAGAAGGAACAGTTTACTGCAGTTGAGTGCTACATATTGCATTGTAAGAGAAGGCATTATATTATTCTCTTACCCTTCCAGGGAGATGGCCCGTTGGAGAGTCACTGAAGGCTGACGAGTCGTAGTGCTGTGCTGGGAATGACTGCAAGAAAAAAGAAAAACAAAATAAAAACCGGACATTTATGTAAAATGCCTTTGCATAATTTAATGAGTCTTACTGTCAAGAAAATAACAGATATTGAAAGACGTAAGAAATTAAATGCTAGTGATAAATAGAATCATACACCAGAAAAGGAACCTTCTTCTAGATAATTAGATAAAGGGTTAGTGTTCCCTTGTAATTTGGGTTCAACATGAATTATTCTGGAGTAAGCCTTAAATGATACTTGGATATGACACAGAGCATAAAACATCAATTTGATTATGATGTCATGTGTTTTTATATTGTCTGAGAATTTTATAAATGCCAGGGGCAATGGACAGCTGTGTTGAAATAGTATTTACCTGACATGACAGGGCTATTGCACACATAAACTCATAATGACTGTGACTGCATGCACAAGACATAGACCAGATCAGGCCAGCCAAAGTCCTAGCACGGATGGGGGAAGGGCTCATGAAATCCCACCCCTAGCTGAGAAGCTGTGGTCAACCAATACTGGGTGAGGGAGTGTAATTTTTCTTCAGGGATGTGGCCCCTGAGAGGCTAGTCATGCCTGGCCCTACACCCATGCATATCTAGGTAGCACTAATGGGACTCAGGGGATTTAAAAAATGAAGCAATGCATCTTTCAAGCTTCAGAATATTTTTTTTAAACAAAACTTTGTACAAAGACTAACCTATAAATTAGAATACTTCATTAGTTCAACATTTATTTGTAAGTTAATCAGTAATGATTCAGGTATTTTATTAAATCTTGAAAAATTGGATTTCCAGTTGAATATCAGTCTTGGAATTTGATGTGATTCATTATTTTGTTTTGGTTTCATATAGCAAGACTGATTTTGCATATAAGTGGTTGAAATCAGCATAATGTCTAGCATCAATGATCATTTATACTAACAAACAGCTTTTAAACACATTTGATATGCTTATGCCACTTGTTTCTACCTTGTCTGTAGATTGGATTTTGTTTAATAGATAGAAAATTGAGAATAAAAGAGGTTTGGAGCTTGCTCAAAGTCATCTAATCAACACCTGTGCCTGAATTTCTCCATTGATTCTAGAGCCTCCTCAACTAAAGATACAAAGACTCTTTCATCTGAGAAAGGTACAATAGTAATCCAACAGCAAATGTATCCAAAAGAATGCAGTCTTTTACTAATGTGTGAACCTTCCCTTCTTACCAATTCCTTACACATCCATATACATTTTACATAATTTTATACAAGCACAGAACACACACATAATTTGACAATATCTATTATTTTAGTTCAATATAATATTACTTCTTATTCATATATAGTTTATTTAGTCATCCTTGTAGTTGGATCACTAGAATACTTCTGTTATTTTAATATTATATATAGTGCTGCAATGACCATGCTGATAATGGTTACTTTTTTCTTATTTTATGATTTACTTTAAATGAATTACTTCAAACACAAACAGTTACTAAGTTCTTCATTTATATTATCATATAGTCTTCAGAGCACATATATATTGTTTCTCTCTCTCTCTCTCTCTCTCTCTCTCTCTCTCTCTCTCCACACACACACACACACACACACACACACACACACACACACACACACATTTACTGATTATATTTAGCACTACTCATATGTGTATGTTTTCAGGATGACTTTTTGGGATCAAATAACCTTTTGGGGGATTCATCCATGGATATATCTACACAAGTTTTACCTCAATCTTAGAACTGCTGATTTTATAATAAAAAATAGTTTATGTAGCTGTGTGTAGTGTGTGTGTGTGTGTGTGTGTGTGTGTGTGTGTGTGTGTGTGAGAGAGAGAGAGAGAGAGAGAGAGAGAGAGAGAGAGAGAGAGAGAGAGAGAGAGAGAGAAAGAGCGCACACATATGCAGAGATCAGGGAACAACCTGAGTGGGTTGGATTTTTCCTTTCACTTTGTGGATTCTGAGGGGTTGAACTCTTGTTGTTATGCCTGGCAGCACCCACCATTTCCCACTTAACCTTCTTGCTGGCCCTTAACTTTGTAAGTTTTAGCACCCATGAAAATTTAATAGATGCAAGGTGACACCCAGAGTTACTATAAGCCTCTCCTAACTTATGAGAATGACTATTTTTCCCTATGTGTTTATTTGTAACTTTATTTCTTTTGTGCCAACTATACAATTCATTATCATTTATCTTCTAGTTGATTAGAAAGTACCAATAGTTCTTGGGTAAAGATCAATAGAACTTACTAATCATGATTAATGGATAATTGGGATCCCTGATACCTTTGCCATTATTGGCCCAGCCCACGTAATTGAAACAAAGAAATACCCAGTAGTCCCTCTCTGTAACATGCTCCGCACAACCATTTTCCTATCGTGCATCCACACGGTAATGCTGTGTTCCCAGGTTTAGTGACATAACATGCAACAGGACAGGAAAGTGCTCAGAGAAATGGACTCCTTTGACATTACACATGCAAGGTCAATCAGTTCTGGGTGGAATGGCAATGGGAAAGAGATAGATCCTTGCACAAACAGTGAATTATCAGATAGTCAAGACCTCCAGACAGCAGTGCAATTTTGCTATTCACAGATGGCACCAGTGTGTGTGTGTGTGTGTGTGTGTGTGTGTGTGTGTGTGTGTGTGTGTGTGTGTGTGTTACTTGTACAGTGTGTAGGGGGTACTTGAGATGCTGCTTGTCGAGGATGATTAGCATGTTTAAGACAAGCAGATATCATCCTGTCCATGACTAGCTACACACAGTGGTTACTTCTAGGACTAAGAAATTACAGTGACTGCAGCCTGGCCTTTTCACCTCCTCAGGCAATAAGGTTAGAAAGACAGAAAATTGAGAACAGCAGGAGAGAAGAACTTTTAACATCAGTGCGTTTAGGAGGTAGAATGCATTTCATCTTTAAAATCCCTGTGCACAGATTGCCGCTGTGTTCCTCATGGCTGTGGTTCTCCCATGGCTGTAGCTTTTCTGGGAAGACATGCACGCCAGGCTGCCCTTCCCTTCAGCTCAGATAACAGTGCTCACACAGCACATGACAGGCCTCCCCTCCTTTCAGCTCAGGTAACATAGTGCTCACACTGGCTCTTGTCTTTTCCACATAGCCACCATAGCACCAAAATGAAATCTCACCACGGCTTGTACACATGTCTGCTCTCCTATTAGGTCTTACATGCTTTCAGAGCAGGGTGCTGCATTGACTCTCTACCCAGACTCAGCCCAGAAAAGACACAGAAAAGATACTTCATCAATGTCTGTTTGAGGGATGAACACCATAACTAAGTTTCGCTTACTTGAAAAACCTCATGCTTTATCTTTTTAAAACTTGTAAGGACCTTGAGAATCAGGTATCCTATCTATTTTTGACAGAAAGTAAATTAAGTTTTAGATCTTCCAGCTGGATGATGGCAAAAATGGGAGCCAGATTGGCTGTCTTACAGAGAGAAGCATTCAGAACTGTGGGACCAGTCCACGCTAAGGCTCTGGTGCATTATGATAGGGAGTACTGAAAACATTTCTAAGCAATATTAATGTTTTTTTTTAAAGCACAGACTATCGTTTTTCTTTCATGTCCATCAAAGTTCAATCTTTGTGGCCTTCAAAACCATGTTTGTGTTCATCACTTGAAAAAGTGATTTAACTGTCTTACCTACACCCCCTCAACAGGAAGTCCTGTTGCTTAAGAAAATGCCACTTGAATGATACTAAGAGATGTACTCCTATTGCTAGTGTTCTCTTTTTTTTTCAGTATCTGAATTGAAATTGTTTTATTATACATGGAACTTTAAGGACCCAGTAGTGATAAATTTCCGAATTTTCTCCTTCTCCAAAGGAAACAACTACAATGATAGGCAAGGTCTTTCCAATATTTTATAATATTCGACTAAATTATTTTAAAGAACATGAAATATTATTTTGCATGGTATAGGGAGATGATCTTCGGGCCTCCCGTATGGCACACAAACTCTTCTACAACTGACCTACATCTAGTTTTTATATTTTGAGCAGGGTCTCACTAAGTTGCCAGACTATCCTGTAAGTCATTTTGTAAGTCCAAGCAGGCCTTGAATTTGCCACCTTCTGTCTTAGTCTCCCAAGTAGCTGGAATTTCAGGCCTGTACCACTAGACACAGCACATAACATTATTTCCTTCATTAATGAAGTAGTAACATTAATCTTACTTAATTGATTTATAATTTTCATTCATCATTATAATACCTCCTGATATATATTCTATATTGTTTATTTCTTCACTTGTATTTCTAAAGGACATTCATCTTCACTGTCATAGTTAACTGCATATATTTGATGTCTCAATAGTTTTTTCATACTTTCCTTTTCTTTGTGTTTGTATGCATGTATTAAGTTGCTGAATATCCTTAAAAATAATCCAGTAGTATTTCAGATAAACATAATGAAAATATAACCCTTTTATTCCACAAAACCAACAAGCATTTTTCTGAACAACTATTTATAGGTTTGGATTATATTAAAGAAACGTTAACTGGATAGTTATTAAATGCCAGAGATATATTAGGTGCTTGGGATGACACTTTGATTCCTCAGTATTGCAGTTTCAGAAAATATCAGATAGTGAAATGGATGATGGTCAAATAATTATTTGCCCATGTCTATAAGGCTAACACATCTCAATGAATCCCAGAGAACAGAAGCTGTACTTAAAAGAAGTGACTGAAATTAGAGACAGGAGAAAGAAGGCATTCTGAGAACTGGGAAGACCTGGCTTAAGATCATTCAAGGTCAAAAGCAGGCTGTATGCCCTGGGAAGCTTGACCATCATGGCTTGGCAGAGGGTTGAGGGAGGAAGGTGATGGGGCAGATCTTGGGGAAAATAGCTTGGTGAGAGTTTTAGACTTCACTAGGATGGAAGACTCTCAGAGGTTGGTAAATAGTGAGGATTAAGATGGTAATATTTATAATTCATAAAGTTGTATGTGTGCAATGGAAGCAAGATAAAATCTGAGAAA